ATATATATATATAAATATATATATATATTTTTTTTTAAGATGACTGGTAAGGGGATCTTAACCCTTGACTTGGTGTTGTCAGCACCAGGCTCAGCCAGTGAGTTAACCGGCCATCCCTATATGGGATTTGAACCCGTGGCCTTGGTGTTATTAGCACTGCACTCTCCCGAGTGAGCCACGGGCCGGCCCCTTTGTTTTGCTATCTTAAAGAGAAAATACCTGCAGAGAACAGGAAACTAATAGCTGAAAAACAAGAATTCAATGGGTAGGTTTAACAGCCAATTAGACACAGTTGAGGAGAAAAAGCAGACTGTTACAAAGGTCAGAAACAATCAGTAGGCGGCGTGGAGAAAGGAAGGGGTGCCCAGTGAGCCCTTGGGTGTTCCAGGGGCACTTCAGGCTCATTGTGTTGCTGGCTGAACTTCTTTTGCTCCAATTCACACCCACCACATACTTTACCCTGCTACAGGGACTCTTAGGGAACGCCAGCCACCCTGACCTTCAGGCAGCCCAAGATGGTGCACTGGGCTGGACGCCCAACTCCTCAACCAACTGGTTCAGTTAGTTTTCAGTCTTGCATACTCCACTGCATGAGCTTCTATGAAATATCCACTTCTCTCCACCTCCAAGACCACCACCCGGTCCCTGCCTGGAGGCAGCGAAGCCTGACAGGTGCCCCTCATCCCACCCCTAGCCTTCAATCCATTTCTCATGCTGTAGCAGCTGCAGCACCGCCCTAAAGCACACACAGCCAGGCCACACTCCTCTCATGCTGCTGAGGACTTGGGCTAAGGCCCGAGTCTCTAAAGCAGCCCTTGCCCTGTGCCCTGCAGCCAGGTCCTCTGCTCCCCTCAGCAGCCTGCCCCAGCACTGCACTCACTCAATAGAGAAAGCCAAAATAAACTTTCAGGGATCTAGGAAAAAGCCAAATATTGACTTATCTTTAATTCATTAATTTTATTACACTTTAAAATTTCAAATGATGTATTGCACAAACTATATTAATTTAGAACAGATTTTTCACTCATTTTGCAAAAAAAGAGAAAATCAAATTCTTCATCTGCCATCATGGGCGGCAGGGTCTGGTCACCCCTGGAGCCACCTCTGGATCAGCTGACCCGGTTCTCCTGGGTCTGCTGGCTTCACTGCAGCCGAGCTGTTTGAGATACAGCAGCACCTCCTGAATATCATGCACGACACTGTCCCAAAAAATTTTCTCTGAGGCACAAGTGTCCATGGGCATAAGGTTCAGATAGGTAGATTTTAAAACTCTACCCTGTACAAGTGTGTATATGATCTCCCCAACCAGCTGAAAGCACTTGCTTACCCAACATCAACACTTGCAAAGTGTGAGGTCACAGGAACGACCTCAGGAAAAATGACTAAATCTTCTCTCTTTGCCTCTTTTCCCCACCATTTCTACCTCTAAACATCCCATGTAACAGTGATTGGAGGTTGTTCTAGATGCTAATGGGTCTTCCCTAAATGCTGCTTTGTGGCTGTAAAGAACTGAGGGACCTGCACAGTATGAGACCTGAACAGCTCAAATGCGAGGGATGCCCTCACTTCTGGAGAATAATTTGGGGGAATCCTGCCTTACATTAGACCTATCCCAACTTATGTGAATTTCGGGAATCCTGGGTGTCTGCTGGGTGGTGTCCCCAGTCTGGCTCTCTCCTCTCTCTGCTACTGCCCCAGGCTGGGTTGGGTGTACTTTGCCTGGGCACTGCCCAGACAGTGCTCACTCCATGCCTGATGTGGTCCCGCTTCCTAGGACTCTAGTCACCCCCAGAGGGAGCCCCATCAGCCCACTGTACAGATGAGGCTGGCCCAGGTTCTCCAGCAGTAGGGCAGAGTCTTAGTGCTTGTCCAAGTGGCATTCTCTTCCAAGTCCACCTGCTCACCCTCTCCTCCCTCTCCCCAACCTGCCTGCCTCCTGGAGTCTGAGGACCAGCCAGGCCAGGGGGCAACACCCACTCCCCCATCGTCTGGCCTCCACCTCTTGGGAATCTCTGCTCTACCATTTAGAGTCCTGGTGACCTTAATCTCTCTAAGCCTGTTTCCTCATCTGAAATTCGGGGAAAGCCACAAGTCCCACCCTCACGTGATTGTGGCAGGTCACACAGCCTATGAAGCACTGCACTTTATAGGCTTGCCCACCTCTCTCCACCCAACCCCAGGCATCTGCTTGTCAGGTTTCACATGTGCCTTCCTTGAGGCCCAGAAACAGCCCATTTGATTTTGGCATGACACCCTGCCTCTGCCCGGGGCATGCAGTTAGGGAAAAGTGTATGGTTCTGATCAGGTGGCCACTCCCCCTACCCCACCCCCTGCAGGTGTCTGCCCAGGCAGTGGCGGGGCCTGGGTGTGAGCGTGCCAGCTCCACTACCACTCCTGCTGGGTCCCACAGCCCCCTGGGGAGAGCTGTCCCCAGCCACAACTCACGGGACTTGGCAAGGCTCAAGCCAGTGAAGGACACAGCCCTGGATCTGGCACCATTCCTGGCCCAGTGCCTTAGGGTGGAGCTGACTCTTGGCTTCCTCACCCAAGCCTGAGGACTCTTCCTTTTGGCTCCTCAGGGAGCCCTTGGGCCCACTGGCTGCTTGGCCACCAACTTCCAGAACCAGGGAAAGCCAGAAGGCCAGGCCAGGAGTCTGCCCCCCACCCTGCCTGCTCCTCAGCTGAAACACCTTTTCACCAACACGTTTCCCCTTTATTAATTACCTTGCATGTTCATGTTATACAGCCATGAATGTGGTTCAGGAATCAAGCTGAGTGGAAGCAAGAGGGCCAGGCTCATGAGCCGCATTATCCAAGAGAGCATGGCAGCCACACGGAAGGGAGATGGTGTCTTCGATGTGGGGTGGGCTGAGGGAAGGAAACCTGCCATCCTGGCCCCTCAGCCTCCAGATAATCCTCTGCTCCAGGTTCTTGGGAGCTTGGGGATTGGGGTACAGACCCCAGCATGGCTGTAGAGATGGCAGGGACTGACCAGAGCTGAGCTGGTGAGAAAAGTTCTTTACAGTCTCCTGTCTGGCAAAGAACGTGCTAGACCATTTCCCTTCCCCAGAGAAAGTATCGTGGATGATACACCGGGGTCCTGGGTCTGACGTCGTGCCTGGCCTCTGAACTCAGCCCCTGGACTCAGGCCACGGCAGGTGCTGGGGATGACCCACGGAAGGCACTTGGCTTGGGCCCACAGGTCCCACTAGAGTATGCTGTTCCTGGAAGTCAGATCTCAGGAGACCAGGGGAAGAGGGAACAAAGGAGTTGAGTCTGGTGGGGGGCCCATCGCAGGGTGGGCTTGGCTGTGGCTGTGGCGTTGGCAGGCCTGAGAGTGGGGGCTCAGAGCTTGGCCCGGGGGTGGCTCTGCAGCAGGGCGCGCATGTCCAGGAGTGCTTTCTCCAGGTAGTGCGCTAGGCGGGCGGCGTTGGTCTCTGCACAGCTGTTGTAGGCCGTCAGAGAGAAGTTGATGTGGGCCTCCATGGGGTTGTAGCAGACGCCGTAGCCATCTGGGACCACGGGCCCAAAGAACATGACGCAGTCTGTCTTTGAAGGGACCTGGGGGCAGCAGGACCAAAGCTGTCATGCCCCACCCGCAGGCTCTCCTCCAGCCCCAAAGTGGCACCCGCTGCCTTTCCACGTCTCAGCTCTAAAAGACTCCTGCCTCTTCTTCAGTGGATAGGCTGCTCCCTATTGTCCTTCAGGGTTCAGTCCTGTTGTCACTTCCTCTATGGAGCCTTCCTTGACATTCCCCGGGGAGCTTCTAGCTGCTCCCTCCTCCGGACTCTCCTGACCCCACTAGCACTTCCCAGGGGACCATCACTGCCTCACTGCCTGTGTTTCTAGCCTAGACTGCAAACCCCTTGGGGGCAGGGACCATGGTCTGTACTCTGCTGTATCCCAACAGCCTGCACAGGCTGGCGCAGATCATTTATACCTGACCAGTGAATGAATGCAGCTGATGATCCCATGGGGGGCGCTCTGGCGCTTTCTCAGCTTGCCTGGGCTGCAGTTATTCCCCCCGTCCCCAGCTCCTCCTCCAGAACTCAGCTGCTTTGGCAGAGGGCCCATGGTGGCCTATGTGGGCCACATCACCCCCAAGGTCCAGCTGGCTGCCAGCAGGTTGTCTTCTAAATCCTGCTGCGCACCGGCCCCCCCGCTGCTGGGCCCACATAGCAGTGGCGCACCTGGCTGGTGGAGAGGTTGAAGTGCATGGCAATGGCGTAGGAGGTGTCCATGAAGATGTCAGGCATGCTCACCAGGTCCTCAATGGCCTGCAGCTTCAAGCCCAGCAGGTGTCGGTCGAAGGCCTCCCCACGGATGGCCTGCGGGTGGGGGAGCTTTAAAGGGCAAGGGCCTGCAGGTCCACAGGGCATCACTGCCCTCCTCAGAAGCCTGTGGCAACATGCCCCTTCTAGTCACTGGTCACTTAGAACCTTGAGACCAGAGTGTCCAGGCAGGAGAGCCCCCGCTTCACAGGTGGGGAAACTAGGGCTCAGGGAGAGACAGAGATCTGCCTAGGGAGGCAGGAAAATGCAGGGTTTAAGAGCACAGGCCCCGGAGCCAGGCGGCTTAGCCCTATCCAAGGTTGTGGGACCTTGGCAGGTTGCTTACATTTTGGAGTCTCAGCATTTTCATCTGTAAAATGGGGACAGTCACTGAACTCCCCTCACAAGGTAGTGAGAGCTAAATGGACATCTGCATAGAACATGGTCAGAGGCTGGCACACATAGACAAACAGATGGAGACCACTGCCTCCCTGACTGCAGCCCAAGCTGCAAGAGTGCGGGAACCCCACTGTCTGCTAGACCATGTACACCCTCAGCATCAGGGAGAGAGCATGACACAACATCTGAGGGCCTGTGCTAACCCTGGAACCTGGAACCAGGGCAGTGACTGGGCTCAGCCTCAGTTTCTCTAACTTTAAAACGGGGATATTCAGCCTTGTTCCTGGTGCACCAAGGCTCAGGGGAGGGTGGTGCTAGCTGAGGGTTAGCAGCCATTTGCTGCAGGGTGGACAGGCAGATGGACAGACAGGTGGGAGATGCTAAGGGACAAGTGAGTAGGGGCAGGTGGGACTCACTCACCCGGTCAGTGTAGGCTCGGTGGGCCTGCACAGCCTTCCGTAGCAGCTCCACCTTCTGGTGTTCCTGGGTGGTGGGAGTCAGAGGGAGACACAGCACTGCCCTTCCCTGTTCCTCACCCAATTCAGTACCCCACTCCCCACCTAGTACTAGATTGTGAGCTCCTTAAGAGTAAGTATTGGGGGCCGGCCCGTGGCTCACTCGGTAGAGTGCGGTGCTGATAACACTAAGGCCCCGGGTTCGGATCCCACATAGGGATGGCCGGTTCGCTCACTGGCTGAGTGTGGTGCTGACAACCCCAAGTCAAGGGTTAAGATCCCCTTACCGGTCATCTTTTAAAAAAAAAAAAAAAGAGTAAGTATTGGGGGCCGGCCCGTGGCTCACTCGGTAGAGTGCGGTGCTGATAACACTAAGGCCCCGGGTTCGGATCCCACATAGGGATGGCCGGTTCGCTCACTGGCTGAGTGTGGTGCTGACAACCCCAAGTCAAGGGTTAAGATCCCCTTACCGGTCATCTTTTTAAAAAAAAAAAAAAAAAAGAGTAAGTATTGGAACACCTGTATCTTCAGTCCTCAGCAAAGGCCTGATACAGGGCAGATGCTCACTGCTGATGAATGAATAAATGAACAAATGAATGCTCCCTTTTCTCTTTGGCTGCCAGGAAGCTCAGAGCTAAATTCATGGCTCCATTTTGTATTAGATTCCCAGTGTGTACCATAGGGCTGAAACACTGTAGGTGCTCAATCAATGTGTGTTGACTGAGGGAGCAGGAAGGGAGATGGCTCATCCACTCTCACTCCAGACCTCTTACCGTCATGCTGGAGTCATCCATGGCTTTGACGAAGGCCAGTGAGTCCATGGAGGCTGAGCGGATGGTGTCCGTGCGGCCCAGGTGGAACATGCGCAGGGAGGCGCTCTCATATGTGGCACACACCTGCCCGTAGATCCTGGGTGGAGATGGGGCTGAGCACACCCCTTGAAGGTCGCCCCACCCCTGCCCCCCCATGCTCATCCCTCCATCGTGGGCGGGCAGGGTAGGGCACACCTGTAGTAGGCCAGCTGTAGAGCCATCTGTATGAAGGCATCTGGGCTCAGCTTCTCTGACTTGGGGAAGTCCTTTCCAAAGTGGTGAAACACCATCACTGTGATGTCCAGGTCCTGGATCATACTGTGGGGGGTGCGGAAGAAAGAGCGGGTGAGGAGCAGGCACCTGGTAGCCCCTGCCAACCCAGGGAGGGCCCGAGCACACAGTCTTAGAACCAGAGCCAGGCAGAATGACAAACCTGGCATAGGAGCCTCTCAGGCTTGAGTGGCCTGACCTTGCGCACCCAGCATGGGGACGGTGGGGGCAGGGACTTACATGCTGAGGTTCTGCTTGGCCTTCTCAATGTCGCTCTTGATCTCAGGGGTGATGTTAAACCGTAACTTCTTAGGCATGGGCAAGGGCACCATGGGAGACCGCACAAGCTCAGGCTTCTTCCTGCAAGGGACATGGGGCCTCAGGCTCACGCTTGGGCCTCCAAAGCCCGGGTCCTTCCCTGGGAGTGTGCTGTGGAGGACGGGTTCCTGAAGCTGGAGGGGGCCAGTCCAGGAAGACTCCAGGGTTTGATCTTCTGAAAACTGTCTTCATTCCAAGTTTCAAGAGGCCAAAGGGAGAAGGCCAGGAGAGGGGAAGGGACTTGTCCTCAGTCACACAGCTGGGAATTGGCAGAGTCAGAATTCAAACTCAGATCTGACTGACTCTAAAACCCATGCCCTTGGGCCGGCCCGTGGCTCACTCGGTAGAGTGCGGTGCTGATAACACCAAGGCCACGGGTTCGGATCCTATATAGGGATGGCCGGTTTGCTCACTGGCTGAGCGTGGTGCTGACAACACCAAGCCAAGGGTTGAGATCCCCTTACCGGTCATCTTTAAAAAAAATAAATAAATAAAAAAAATAAATAAATAAAAAAAAAATAAAACCCATGCCCTCTACTGGCTTCCTTTGAAGAAACAGATTCCCAGGCACAAAGGAGAGTGGCGTTGCCCCACTAGCTGGGTTTGTCATCTGTGTGTCACCTGTCACCAGGTGCTGGGGAAGTAGGTGGGGGGCGTAATCATACTCACGTGAACTCGATGACATGGTCCAAAAGGGCTACAATGGGGGGACCTTCTGCTGCTGCGTGCTCATAAACGAGCCCACAGGAGCCATCTTCTGCCACAATGAACTATAGAGGGAAAGGGGGACCCTGTCAGTCACAGGTCTCTGGAAGGTGGCTCCTGACCCAGCCTCTCTCTGGTTGGGTCTTGTGGGGTTCTGTGAACTTATGACTGTTATTAATAACAGCTAACACTCATCAGGTGTCCTGGGTGACCAGTCCCAGGCCATCCCAAGCACATTCCATACTCAACCTCACTGAGTCCTTCAAATGCCCTACTGGAGAGTTCTACCACCACCCCATTCTCCAGGCGCAGAGAGGGAAAGTCATGCCAAAGTTGTGCCACTCTGCCTGACCCTGTTCCAAGGCTCTCTATAATGTGCTGAAGGGTGTGTTGAGCGTGACAACAGTTTCTGGGCCAACGCACAGGCCTGGTAATGACAGGCTGGCTGCCTGGTAATTAACAGCAGCGTCCAGCCTGCTGGCTTCCCACCTGCTTTACAAGCTGGGAGGCCAGGAATGCCAGCCCCGGCTAGGGGCAGGAAGTCCTAAGGCTGCAGCCAACCAAGTTTGGGTGTGTGTTTGGGGTGGGAATCACAGGCCCTCACCTGCAGCGTCTTATCGAACCAGCGGTTGCCACTGTTCAGCTTGCTGCCGCCTCCGTGCAGCATCTGACCAGCCACGTGGTTGCGGTACACATCCTCAGAGACCCTTGGCATGGGCGCATCCAAGCACACGGTGAAGATGCTCTTCTGGATGGAGCGCACTGCGTCCCGGTTCACCTTGTCTGCAGGTGGCATGGGAGCAGGAGGTGCAAGACAGGGGTGAGTCTCAGGGCCTGGGGGAGACAGGCCAGCCCAACTGTAGCCTCCCGCCCTGGGCTCTTCCGCCTGTCTGCACCCCTCCGGGCATTCACTGAGTGCTGGGGGTGGGTTCAGAGCTCCACACTCAACAGGGCCCTGCAGCCCCACAGCACACTGTGAGCCCCAAGCACCCCAATGCCTGGCCCACTTTAGATGCAGGGACATGGAAGCCTAGGCTCCCGTGGAGCCCGTGTGGCAGTAAAGGATCCAACATAGGCGGTCTGACTCTGGAGACAATGCTCCTGACCAATACAGGATTGGAGGCTTGTGGGGTCCTGGAGAATAGAGGAGTATGGTGGCAGGGTGGGCTCCTCAGTTGGAGGACTTGAACTCTAATCCCAACTTGCTACTTAAGAGAGAGAAACTAACCTAAGCTAACCTAACGAAACTGAGCTTCTGTTTCCTCATCTATAAAACGGCGTCAACAACGCTTGCTTGAGAGGATCCACTGTGGCTGCCCAGGCCTGGTGCTGGGCTGGCCATGGTGTGGGGCGAAGCCCAGAGGTAGTGGCCTCAGTGTGGAACTCCCCCTGCCACCCAGGCACCTTTGATGAGGGTGTTGTAAGCCTTGGCCCAGGAGTTGCGGTGGTTGGAGGTGAGGATGCCCACGGGCTCCTTGTTGGTTTGCAGTGATGAGTTCCATATCTTCTCTAGCTGCACGAAGATCTGATCTGCAGTGAGTGGTGTCCAATCACTATGGTACACGTCCAACTCGAAAAACTGTCCAGCAAAGGCAGGTGGAGAAAAGGCGGGGGCTGGGTAGGATCTCAGGCTGAGAGCAGCAACCTCCCAAACCAGCCTCCTCTAGCCTTGGCAGCCCACAGGTCACAGCCAGTGCTGCCCTGGGCCCAGGGGAAGGCATGGAGTCAGGCCCAGGGTGAGAGAGAGGGAGGAGGTACTTGGGTTGCCCTCCTGGCCTGGGTACACCCTCAGCCCCCCGCCAGCCTTCCTCAGGCCCGGGGCTACATGGGTCTCCAGTAGAGATGACAGGGCACGCCGGTTCCTGGGACACATGGCATGTGTGTTCGGGGAGCTGGGTGGGGAAGCTGACTGTTGGCCCTGCCCCCTCCTCTCCTGCAGCAGGGTGAGGGGCTGCAGCTGTGCATGGCCCACCCACCTGGTAGTTGTGTACCACAGTGATGTGCATGGGTGGCTTCTTGGTCTTGCTGAAGCTGATGACCATGTCCTGCTTGGGGCCTGGCACACGGCAGGAGGACAGGATCTGATAGTACTGGTTCATGCACAGTGGCTTTCCGCCCAGGTACTCCACAGGAAGGGTTTCACTGCAGGGGCAGAGGGACAGTGAGAGTACCACTGGGCAAGTAGATGGGAGGACAGCAAGGTAGACAGGGACCTGATAGGTACTGTTGGGGGCTGGTCTGGGGACAGGAGGGCTGCATTCTGCCCTGCCCTGGAGCCTGCTTGAGTCACCTGGAAACCCTCTCCCTTTCCCTCTCTGTGCTTCAGTTTTTGGGGGGGGGGGGGGGGGGGGGGCCCCGGGATGAGGCACTGAGTTAACCTCCAGGGTCCTATTTGGTTGGGATGGGACAGGGTCACCAGGAGGAGGTCCCAGCAGTGAGGGCAGAGGACAATCCCCAGGGCTCGGTCTCCCAAACCCTAACAGGGGCTGAGCCAATAGGAGGTAAAAGTGACTGAGGTCTGGGCTGGCCTAGCGCCCAGAGTGACACAGTGGGCCAGAGTTCAGGGTAGGGGTGACTGTGGAAATTAGGTAGGCCTGGGCGGCGGGGGGGCTGCTCACTTGTCAATCATAGCCTTGAAATCCAGTACACCCTCGATGAGTTTGGCAGCAAATCTGGAGAGATCAATTAGAGATTATAAGCCAAGGGAGGCCCCTGGGCCGGGGACACCCTCTGGGCGGGTGAGGCCTAGTCAATGGCATTGACCTGTGGCTTCCTTCTTCCCTCTCTGCTGACAGAAAGCCTAAGAGTTCAAGGGAAGGACTATGAGTCCCAGCTGGCCCTCTGAGCCTGCTTCCTCGTAACCTTACAGGGAGGGCTTTCAGGAGGGCTCAGGAGGGACTGGTGGCCAAGGGCCTGGCAGGGGTCAGTGGGTTGATTCTGTCCACCAAGGGCCTGAGTTCCCAAACCACAGCCTGGAATCTGGAGGGGGTATCACTCTGCTCTGAAGCATCAGTTATGGAGGGATCCAGGAACCTGTGTGTGACTAGGAAGGCAATAGCTTGAGATATCCCTTCCACTAGGTCCCTTCCCTTTTCTGGGCCTCTGTATCCCCCAGGCCACCTCCCTCCACCTGGCCTTCCTCCCTGGACCATCTGGACTTTCTGGCCCACACCAACCAGCCCTGACACCTGGGGTTGCTCTGGCCCCCAACATGAGGACCACCAGCTAGAGTTCCTGGGCCTGAATCCCAGCCTTTCCCAGGGTGCCCTGGTCCCTTTAAGAGAAGTAAGTGGCAGCAGCGAGTGGCTGGTCCTTGGGCAGGAGATCCCTGTCACTGGTATTTTTATCTCTGGTAGTACTTGGAATTGGGTCCAGGGCAGGTGACATGGCCGAATGTGGAAAAGGGGACTGTGTACAAAGGTCACCCTTGTGGCCAGCTTAGGAGAGTGGGAAAGAGGGGAGAAGTATCAAAACTGGGGTAGTGGGGAAGCCTCAGGTTTGGGGGAGGGAGGAGACTCAGTCTGAGATTTGGTGGTTAACAGTTACAAGGCTTTGGAGCTAGACAGACCCTGCTTCTCATCCGGGATCAGCTGATCCTGAATAGTGATCTTGGGCAGTTCCCTTCACTGCTCTGATCCTCAGTTTCCCCATCTGTAAAATAGGGATGATGCATCCTACTTCACAAGGCTATCTGTGGGGATGAACAGGGCTAGAGCCCCACTAATTTCCTGGGGAAGTGAACTTGAGGGCCCAGGAAATATCCGGCGCGCTGCCTCCCAGCCCTGCCCCAGCCTTGGCCACTCACCGGAGCTGACCCTGCAGGTCCACGAAGTCCTGCTTGGGTAACGCCATACCTGGGCTGGAGCAGATGACCACAGGTTGGCGGTATTGGAGGTAGGCTGTTTTGAGCCACCACTCGGATAGCTGGGGGAAGGATCAGAGCCCATCAGGAGTGGGTGGGAACCTGGTGCCCCTTCTTTCCCAGGGCCAGGAGCCTTGGCTGGGCCCTGGTTGCCCTCTGCCCCTCTAAGGAGCACAGATTCTCAAAGCTAGTGCTTAAACCCAGAATCCCCTCCCCCCCCACCTTAAACCCACAAGCAGCATCCCATCACTTTCCCTTAGCTCGAGTGACCAGTGTTAGTAAGAGAAATTTGACCACATTGCCAAGAAAAAGACGTGAGAGAAAAGACTGGAAGGAAACAGGGTCAGGGGAAAGGGGGCAGGAAGGTGAATGATTTCTCTCTATCTTACAAATTTTCTGTCATTGTGTATGATACACGTATAAATAAAAATGTATTGGATAAGCAGAAAGGAAAAAAGGGAAAGATATATAAAAAGAAAGTCCAGTGAGAGTTTTTGACTGTCCCCAGCTGGGAATTCTCGAAGGAGGCAGGAGACCAGGGTATCAGAGCAGCTTGAGGGACCCTGGTCCTCCTCTGTGGACTCAGTTTTGTTGGTATCAGACCGAGGAGTGGAAATCCACTCTGACCTCAAAGTCAGGGCCATCTTGAGGGGGAAGCTCCATGTGAGGGCAAATCATTGTGCTGGTGACAAATGTGAACAAAACACCCACCCTGGCAGTCCGGGGTGGGGATATCTCCAGGGACCAGCCATGGACACGGTGTTAAAAGCTCCTGTCTTGCAACTGAGCACACTCCCAGGTGACTGCCGCCCATGACCCTTTTGTACTCACTGTGAACCACTCCCTCCCCCGCCCATGCCCAGTACATTTTTCTCTGGCAGTTCCCTCAACCCTGGGCTCCCACTATCCTTCCTCACCCCTTCACGCACAGCAGCGGGAGGTGCCTCTGCACCACACCGACTCCCCTGCAGCCTGGCCACTAGCCTTGGGCCCTTTGCAAGGGGTGAGGGGAGGCGACTTGCCCCAGGTTGCACAGCAGACAGCTCTTGTCAGTTGATTGGCAGCTCCCAAGGACTGTGCCTGAATCAGCCAGACCTCCCTGTGTAGCACAGGGCCTCTTTGAGAGCTGCTGTGTGGCTCTGGGCTTTTGGTCTACCTCTCTGGGCTTTAGTTTCCTCATCCGTAGATCAGGGAGGGGCAGACAGGAGCTCCTTCCCCTTGAGGACACAGCCAGAGGCCTGCACTCCATTAGGAATCTCAGAGCTTCTGGTCAGAGCTTGGGAGACAAGGGGAAACCCTGCAGGTATGGGTGTTCCCCCAGTGAGAATCTGCTGGGTTGTGGCAGAGCCCCTTCAGGGGCCCTGTGAGTGGAGAGAGGGTACCCCCCCCCTTTAGCCTGAAGTTCTGTTTGAAGAAGGAATCTCTGGCTAAAGAAAGCTGGAAAACCACTGGACCCCAGACTCTCTACGGTCCTTTCAGAGCAAGCATCCTGATTCCAGAGTCTAAGGCCTTGATCTGTTGAGGTTCAGTAAATGCAGCCCATGAGTCAACGACTCCCACCTGCTATGTGAAGGCCCCCACCCTCCCCCGAGCCTTAGATCCATTCCAGTTGCCCACCCATGGCACCTCCCACTTCATGGTACTTCTTAGAGCCAGACCCAGCTCTGGTCCTCTCCAACAAGTCAGCTTCTCCCTTGGCCATCCCTATCTTGGCAAATCTCCTCCCTCTTGTCCCCCCTCGCCAGTTGCTTTAGATCAGGACTCCCCCTGACCTGGGTCCCCTCCCCATCAGCAAGTGCATTGGCGCTGCCTCCAAAACAATCCTGGACCTAATGACTTTCCCCCTCTCCCTGCCAGCATCAGCGCCAGGCTGCCAGCATCTCTCTCCTGGCGATGGCACCTTCCTCCTCCTTACCTCTGGCTCCCACTATTGCTTCCTTCCCAGCAGCTCGGGCATCTTTTTATTTTTGTGTTGAAGCATAAGACACATACAGAAAAACACACACAGCATCAGTGTAGACATGTTCTAAACTGAACACACCTGCATAACTGACCAGACACAGAACTAGGGTGATCGATAACTGAATGACACAAATCCCCTGCCTGAAGCTGTCCCACTGAGCTCAAGTCGAAGTTTCTTCTACTTGGCTGCCCTGCCCCTGCCCCTGCACTCCACTCCAGCCTCTGTCCCACAACATGCAGGCTGTTCCCTCTGTCTGTCTCAGACCCTCAGGTCTCAGGTCCAGCATCCCCTCCTCACTGAGCACTCAACATAGACACCTCCTCTTTCTCATCATCCTTTTTCATTTCCACAGAGCTGCACTGCCTGAAATGACCTTGTCCACTGACTTGCATCCTGTTGCTCACCTTTCTCTCCCCACTACTTGAATATCAGCTCCAAGAGGCCAGTATCTGTGTCCTTCTTGCTCACCCAGCACCCCGCCAAGTACCAGGCACAGAGTAAGTGCTCAAGAAACTTGGTGGAGCAAACAAATGAATGCAGAGCAGCTGGTGCTGGAAAATTGTGTGTATGAAGCTAGCAACAGGCTGCAGCGAAGGATGCTCACAAGGACACAGAGTGCTAGGAGCTGGGGTTCCAGCATGCCCCTGCCATCTCACTCACCCAGTTCTCTGTCTTCTGGGCCCTGCGCTCCAGCCCCTTCTGCAGGCGTTCCCCCACGCCCCCGGAGGCTTGGAACTCCTCCACCAGCTGCTTGGTTTGAGCCCACTCCTCCTCGCTCACAATGGGCTGCAGTGCCTTGAGGTAATGGTCCAGGGACTGCTGAAGTGGGGGCACAGGCAGCCGCGGCAGTGCATCCTGGTGTGCCTTAAAGCGGCCAGAAACCTTCATCAAGGAGGTAGGCTTGAGGAAGCCCAAGGGCTTCACCTGCAGGCAGCAGAACATCCTGCTCATTCTCTTATAGGTTCTGGAAGCCCTGGCAATCCCAAAGCTACAGTCCTGGGCATTTATATGCCTATCCCTGGGGCCAGAGACAGCCTCCTGGGTGGTGCTCCCTGGCCTCCCAGCCCTTGAGCTATAAGTGTCCCCGCCTCTTGGGGGCCTAGAGATACTGGAAGAGATGGGGGAAGTGGGATGTGACTATTGTTCTTGGCAGGGCTCAGGGGAATCAAGACAGGATAAATGGCACCTGCTGGGGTGATAGAGGTGAGGGGGACCTTTGACTTGTCTGAGTGCACAGGCCACATCTTTCGCACCCTGGGAAGACAAGCCAGCCAGCAGAGAGGTGACTGCTCCCTCTTGGGTATCCCCACCTCCTTTTCTCCCACCCTTTTCAGGTTGAGAAATAGGAAAGAAGAAGAGAAAATCAGAGAGTGCCAGACAATGACAGCAACTTTGGGTGAGGGTGAAGCCTTGCGCTTTCTCTTGCCTGGAGGGTGAGGGTAGAGGTGGTGTGGGGGCAGTGCTGTGGCAAGAGAGAGCTGAGTGCCCTGGCACGAAGGTTGAGAGATGGCAGAGACAGGGAGGGACAGTCTGGAAGACTCTGCAGGTGGGCAGAAAGAGAGGCAGGAGGGTCCGAGGCTATTGGCACAGCAGGAAGGCAAGTGGCAGAAGCTCTGTTCCATACCTTCTCTCTCTGCTGCCCATCCTCCATGGCAGGACTGAGGTTCTGAGCCCTGTCTGTCTGCCTTGGCTGGATCTCTAAGTCTAACTGTGCTACCAAGTGGGTGAGCAGAACCTAGCAAGAGGCAGCCACTTGCCGGGGCTGGAAAGAGAAGACAAGAGCCAAGATTCAGGGGGGAGGCAGTGGCAGTGGTGATGGCTGTGGTGGCACCTGGGATTGTGGCAGTGGCAGGGGAAGCTACTGGACTCCAGAAGCTGCTGCACCCTCCCAAGCTTTCAGAAGTGGAGGAATGGGAGCAGGTGAGGGGGCTGGTAGTGGGCACTGGAGCAGGAGGAAACCTGGAACATTTTCTTCTTTCTTGTTTGGGTGGGCTCAATGCCAGGGAGGCAGGCCAAGAGGCATTAAAAAATCCACCTGTTAGAATCTGTGTAAATTTTTTGATGAGAGAAAACTTGGCTGGAGGGCAGAAACGGCCTGGCCACTGAGGTTATACCATGAAATCAGTCTGGAGGTCAGAGTTGGTGCAAGGGAGCAGACACCAGGAAAGTGCCATTAGTGGACAGTTGCTGCCAAGAGTCCTGCCCCTCCCTTGTTTCCCTCCAGAAATTTTGGGGCCCTTTTGGGTCACCCCTCTTCGAAAGCCTGGTTTTTCTGAGCTGTGGTTCATTTAGCTGGGGGCCAACAGTGGAGGACTTTGGTATGAAAAATAAACCAAAGGACTCTGCCTTTGGAATTGGCTAGATCTGAATTAGCAGATCCAGGGGACTCTGGCCAAATCTCTTCTTGCCTCAGTTCCCCCAGCAGTAAAGTGATCAGGTCAGTCTGGTAATCCTGGAGGATGACCTAGAGGCTGTCTGTGGGATGGGACACAGCTCAAGAGGCAGTGGCAAGGGTAAGTGGGAGCGTCATGCTGTTGAACACCTAGGAGAGCCTCTGCCTGTGCCCGGAAGTGTACCTTCAGCCCTCTGGCCGGTGGTGTCTGAGACAGAGTGAGACACAAGCAGAGATGAAAGCATCGCTTGCTCCAGGCTGCCCTCTGGGGAGGGACAGATGTAGATGTGGACAGGTTAGAGAAGGGGGCTGGTGGGGAGCGAGGGTATGGGTCTGCCACTTGCACTTCCAGCTGGTTCTGAGGACTTTCTGAGCAGCCCAGCTTGATGCCACCACGTGAGTTTCTCTGGCCACACACAGTTCCCCAGGGGCCATTTGATAAACCCAAGGAGGCAGACCAACTGAATAGGGCCGGAGAAGTGCAACGGGTGTGTGAGTCAGAGGATAACTGGGAGACTGAATGCGGGGCCGGACACTCTCGGTCTCTCTTCCCCTTGGCTCCGAGTTTAAGGGTGGGGGTGCTGGCTGAAGCCAGGCTTTCCACCGTCTTTTCCGGGTTGTTGGAATTGACGGCCACAGGACGTGGGTTCGATCCTGCCTCTGACCTTGCGCCTCCGTGTCCTCCTCTGCCAACCCAGGGACGCCCACCTGCCGACACCTCCCGCGCCCCCGCCCCAGCTGGAGGCCAGGTTGGACAGCGGCCCCTCCGTGCCCCCCGGCTGCGCCGCTTCGGCGGCCCGTTTCCTTATCCGGGCGCAGCTGCGCGGCCCGCCCTACCCGTGGCCCGCCCGGCCCGGCCCGGCCCG